TTGCTTGTTCTTGTTGCCAGTCCAGCAATAGCTATACGTAAACGCCAAACGGCAAAAAAAAGAAAAAGCAAAGTCGGCACGCCAGTAGCCATAAACTATAGGGAAAATGTAAGCGCCATGAGTAAACTGTTTTCATCAAATGTGTAGGTCTTAAGACTCATTTTAAATTGCAAGGCCTGTGTTTTCTAGGTCTGTGTTTTCGAGGTCTGTGTTTTCTAGAGAACCAGGTTTTGATTTATAGATTTTATATATGTTGTAGCAGAAACTGGTTGTAGTTAATTTTTTCAGTTATTTTCATTTTTCCATTGTTTTTGGGTATGGTAATGTATGCTAATGAATTTAAAACAAAGGAAAAACAAAAGTTAACTGAAATAAAGAAAATTAACTGCAACATGTACATATACATACATGTAGGTGTACTTTTTTGTCCCATAGAATAAGATCCACACTCTTTATAGTGAATAAGATAATTACAGTAGGCATAAATACTGGTGAAGCTGTCCATAAAATTTCACAGTGATATTATTACTTTTCCTCGTTTTTGATCGATGTCTGTGGTCAGTTCTATGTTTAGCTTGTGTAGCATGGTGCAGGCGTTGAACAGGCTTGAGGATTGGGAGGTAGGGGGAAAAGGAGGGGGATTTGGGAGAGAGGGAAGGGATAAGTGCTATAAGAACCCCTTTCAGTTCATTTCTGCTGCCACTTTCGTCTGCAAATTTCTTGATTAGCTGAGCTGTAATGAGTACTCTCTGCTGATTGATGAAACAATTCACTTTGACAATGCAAAAAAAATTGACGTTACACTAAATTAATGCGAATTTTTCAAAAGTTAGGTTTACATGCATTAAATTAACGCGAGTTTTTTGATGAGCATCTTACTTTATTCAACACAAAATTGCTGCATATTTTACAAAATCTCAACATGCATAATATCTCAAAGAGAAAAAGGAGCATTTAAAGTCATTGTTAAGCTATGTAAATGGATCTCAGTATCAAGGAAACACTATCAAGATGAATCAAAAGACATTTTGAACTCGATTTTGAAGGAAGAAGTCCTGTCAGATAGTGACCCTGAGGAGTCAATAGAAAGGGCTTCTGATATTTTGCATGGTTGCGGAACTGCGAAATTCAGGTAAATCCGCAAAATCCCGCAAAATTTACAAAAACATGAAAAAAATACCACGAAATTTGGTAGAAATCTTATCAGAGACATGTCTGTATTGAAACTTTTTTCAGCTATTGGAGCTATTTACTTGCCATAAATTTGCAAATTTATCTTGGAAATTCGTCACTGACACGTGTAAACAATGTCCCAAAACTACCAGGTGTAGATTATGTTGCGAAAAACTGGGCATTAGCCCTGATGTTAAAGGCTTTGCCATTGGTTGTTGAAATGTCAGTCACTGTCAACAACAGTCCTTTTCAGGACTACACTCAGCCGGACAATCATATTCCACATCTACATTTGTACTTATGGCATTCATTAATTTATCATAAACCTCATAATACAGACTAGATGAGGTTTTATGCAGAAGAGAGCCTACCACTTACTACCTCCAACTTTTGGGAAAGAAGTGGTTTTGAGATACAGTTGAACCTACTGCCATGAGTGGTCACCCTTGAGACCAGAGAAAGTGTTTGCTAAGGAGAGGTGTTTGCTTAAAAGCCTTAAATGCAGCATTTTTATGTCACTGGGATCGATGATGAACAAGTGTCTGCATACAGGATGTGTTCTTCAGAGGAGGTTCAACTGTACCATTCCATTGAATCACTAAATAATAATTGCTTTCCCCCCCTGGGGGGGGGGGCACTTGGGTATTTTTTGGGTGGGTATGTGCCGCCTGGGACTCCAAATTGGCACCCCGTTCTAAAAAAAAATTCCCCTAAAATTGATACCCCGTTCTAGAAATGGGCCAATTTTTTATACCCCGTTCTAGGGTGCAACAAGAGTATAACAGTTTGCTTCAGTAACGCATTGAGCCGTATTTTTAAAAGCAATCTGTCCTTGAATAATTTCAAATGGCTACTTACAAAACTGGAGCTTTCATGCGTTCGAAATATTATACCCCGTTCTAGAAAACGCCCCTGTTCTAAACCAGGAGCTTTAAAATCACAACCCCGTTGGGCGGCACATACCCGTATAGGTAATGTATGGGAGTACACCCCCGGCTTTTCCCCTTGTTCCATTTAAGGTAATGATATAACTTAACCATGCTTTATGTGTCCATTTAATAATATAATTTTTTATAGTTTGAGTGCCCACCACTAGATGAACTGAGCATTGCAGTAAAGATCAAGGCTTGTGGTTTGTCCCTGCCTGACTATAAGGTGAGAATGAATAATCCCATTAAAAATAATTAATTCAAATGTCAGCAACATTCTAATGATACTGATTCAAGTGCTGTTTTATGACCCAGAAGTTAGAGTAGCGAAATTTTTGAAATAGGGGTGCCAGGTTAAGTTTGTATTTTTTTAAAATTATTATTAATTAATAATTGCGTGCCTGAGCCTTTTAGGGAGTCATGGGTACCTAAACTGTCCTGCAGTTGGTCATTGATCCCCTTGGGACCACTCTTACATGTCGTTGCCCCACTGGTGTGTAGAGGGCAGAGGTTGTGTCGTAGTAAGAGCATTCAGCTCACACAAATGTGGCCTAGGTTTGAATACCAGCATAAATGCCATACATGTGTATGTTTGTTGTTAGTTCTTATTCTTGCTTTGTGAGAATTTCCTCCCGGTATTTCAGTTTCCTCTTTTTTTTTGCAAATTCCGATTTCACCTTGAATGCACAAACACTCTCAAACAAGTTCTTGAGAGATCCTAAGTGGTTTGATAATGGGTAGAAGTACATTAAATATAAATTTTATATTTTAAATTTTTATGAAACTAAGTTTTCAGCTGCAATGAGTGTCTTCAGTTGATGCACCAAAGATTCTCCTCAGTTAAGTGTGGAAAGCCATCTGTACACCGGTTCCTTGATACACCCATGCATGGCTCTTCATTGAGCAACACATTTAGGACTGGTAGCTCTAGTTGTCCACCATATAGAGATTAAAGCGACTGCTCATTAACAAGATCATGCTTAGAAAAAAGACGTCTTAGTAACTTCTGATAAACTGCTAGAAGAGAGTTTCCTTACAGATTGCTTTGTATTTACTTGTCAAAACAAAAGGGGAATAATCAAGAATCACTAAGGGCCTCATTCTTCACAACCTTTCAATCAGTTTTAAAATTTTGCCGAAACAATCAAGACACTGATATTTCCTTTAAAGAGGTATGGGACTATCTGGCGTACAATGTGCTTTAATGAAGAGACAATGATCATGCTTACCAGGCTCCTGAAAGGCTTGAAGTCTTTTGTCCATTGTTTTTTTTTTAAAAAAGAGTTTAAATAATAGTAATTCTATCCTGTTCTAGATTTTAGAGGAATTCAAACTGATTAGCAAAAAGGAACATCCATTTGGAAGAGAAATATCAGGAGTTGTAACAAATGGTAAAAAATTCATCTTTATAATAAATTTATAAAAATAAAATGTTCTTATTTTTTTATAAAATTATCAATTTTTGTCCTATTTGAAAGTATAATATACAGTGTATGTAAGAATACATGTAACTTACACTATCGTTTTTTTCTTTTGTTGTGTTTAGTTGGATCTGCAGTGACAAGAGTAAGCATTGGAGATGAAGTGGCAGGTAGGTGCAGTGGGAATTGAATTGGGAGGACTGTTTACTACCACAGGTAGACCACCCTCTGTTCGTGTGGCCATTATTGTTATTGAAATTTGAGCATCAATCTTTTCTTCTCAATAGAAGAAATACAAATGAACATTACAGCGACCTCCATTTACTCCATGACACGGATGTGACCCTTAATGTTCAGGTGAAATTCAAGCGAAAATTAATGTGGTCATTTGCCACTACACAGGCTATAAAAGTCTAGGATCATGTGGGGTCAGTTTGAAAATCTTCAAAGCTTTCTCAAAATGGCTGCAACACCCCCCCCCCCACACACACCCCCCTTACAGGTAATAAACGACCAGCCCTTTAGCATAGTGTATTTCAACCCAGCCACTCTCACAGGAATCAAATCCCTCTCTACGATCCCACTTTGGCCACAAGATGGAGTTATTCTTGGTAGTCACAAGTTTAGTTCCTCAGTTGAACTTGTTTGTAGCCAACTGGTTTGCCTCCAGCCAGATGGGATTATTACTTGCAATTTTAACCACAATATGTTTCTTGCTTTTCTTTTTGTGGGCTAGAAATGCAAACTGCTGGAACACAAGTATTATTGTGTCACCTAAGTCAGCATAACCAGCCAAAGAAAATTTAATTTAATAATGAAACTAAGCAATAACGTTTTGTAGAATAAGACAATATTAGACAGGTCTGACATTACCATGCACACATCATCACTGTTACTTCATGACTTATTCTCATTATTCTTATCCAACAGATATCTATTTGAATCCTATAACACCTTACTTATATTTCATTGACACTTAACCAAACTTTTTGAAAGAGATTTTATGACCTGATACCCATCAATGTCTTCCACCCACACTCAACTGACATTGTCCTTGACTGGATTAATTGTTAATGAAATGATTGACTGTGTGATGAGTATCAGTTTTGTCACAACTAAATATCCCAGGAACATATAGTACTCAGGTACATTCTATAATAGAGGCAGGGAGGTGTGAATAACCACATATCATTTAATTGAAAGCTTTAAACAGTACAACACATAATTTTTTGTAACTCTTTTTCTCCACCTTCCAAATGCAGGACTTCTTCCTTTAGATTCAGCATCAGCTGGCTGTGCAACATTCTGCGTGATGTCACAATTTGATGTAGGTTAGTGTCTGAAAGATAGCATTATTTGTATTATGATGCCTTGGTCTGTGTTTTTTTGGGCTGGGTCAGTGCAAAGTGGTAGTTGTCTATAACTATAGTGAACATCACAAACGAGTTTCATTTTACTAGGACTGGGTGGCCAGACCAGTCCAGTTGTCAGGAAAAATTCCACTATTAATCAGGACTAACCTGTTTGGGTTAATTTCAGTTTTATGAGAATCAGTAAGAACTTTTCAGACTTAGACTGCTCTGAAAAGAACAATGACTTTGAAACTTAACTAAAATACTTTGCAGTAATCAAACTCTCATAGAACTGATTTTAAAACAAAAATTATGGAGTTATTTTTAAACTGCAGCTTTAAAACCAAAGAGGACACCTTTTTTATGTTTACATGAGTAAATATATGGGTATCTCATGAGTAAGAATGGCAAAAAGTGTCATTGCAGAGAGAGATTACTTGCCAATTTTTACTATTGAAAGAACTGAATAGCTGCACCTTAAGCCAGGTATATCAATATGGATTGTAACGGCACTGTAAATCATCATTTTTGATTATTGAAAAACAAAAAGTGAAAAATACATTTTTTGGATGCAAAGTTTTGAAAACATTATAATTATTTCAAAAATGCTCTCTAATGTTATTTCAAACCTTGCAAAGGTCTAGACTGTTGACAGGTTAGTGGATTTTGACAGACTCAGGGTGCAAAGAAAGTCAATTTTACAGCTTGCCCTTCGGGCAAGCTGTAACTAACATCTACTAGCCCGAAAGTCATTTTTACTAGCCCAAAAATTTTTTTTCGCGAGCAGAATGAATAAATATTAATTGATTATTCCTTTCTTAATTACACTGTAAGTTAATAAATTACTGGCTTCATTTATTCATTACAATCAGCTGTAGTTATTTAACAAAAGCAATAAATAATCGTGAAAGTGTGAACTATAAGTAGACCTGGTCAGATACTCTTGACACACTAGTAAAATAATTCAGTGTTCACCTTTTGATTGTAAATGCCTTTGTCCTGAAAGTCAATTCACAGTGAAGCTAACAGAATGAAGGTCCAAATAACAGACAAACGTTTGTCTTTGAACACAATACTAAAAACTACGTATTACTGGTTAACCTCTTGTTAAAATGTTCAAATACTCAATCTTCTGTAACGCTCTGAGTTCAACGCAATATTCACTCCCGATGTCTTCAACTAGTTTGATTTTTTGCTGCTTTGCTCTCGGTGCTGCCACACTGTAAATTTTTTCTAAGTCCACCACAACATGTGAATGATTAACATGCATTTTAGACATTTTACAATTTAGAAAAACATTTTTTAGGAAAAAAAAAAAGGCGTTGAAACCGTGAAACCAAAGTTCTCAACGGACACACTAAACGACAGCGTAGACAACGCGAAAAGCTGTCAGTGAAAACGCTTCATTCTACAATTTGCCGCGCAATTTCCCGCTGGAGTATTTCTTAGCCGCTGACAGGGGAGATGTTTATATTATTTAAGGACATAAAAATTTGATAGCTTTCATCAGTTTGCTTCACATTCAAAAGCAGTGCATTCTGATGATCATTTTTCTGAAGAAGGTTTGTTTGGCAGTCGGTTTTCCGAGTCAAGTTTCAAGTTCACGGGAAAGTGGAAAGTGCGAGTGCCAAGTCACGCATCAGTGAGCAAATATCATGCAAACAAAAATTCTGCAAATTTGTGGTTCATCTTGTTACAAGTAACCAAAGGTTTAAGGTTTCAAAAGAACAAAAATGTTCGTTTTATTTGTGGCATCTTTTCATCTGAGAGATTTTCGTGAAAAGTGAAAACAATCCGGGTTGTCTATATATTTTAAACAACAAACACCTACAGTATCAGTGTTTAGAATTTACCATACTGATATGCACGTGACCAATATTTGCTAAAACCATAATAGATTCGCACACAGGAGTTCAGGATCAAAACCTTTAGGTTCCTCACAAATGATTATGAAACAAAATTTAGACAAACAGCTTTCTCTGAATCAGTAAAAATTAGTCACGGGCAACATTTACCTCCAAAGTTTTTTTAATATCTGCTTTTCCTTTACACGCGGGTGACAAAATCCGCCGCGCCTAAGCTAATGAAGGAAAGTCTCCTGGAAGGCTCCATACAATTCCTTATAACAAAATTATAAGGAATTGTATGGAGCTCTCCGGGATACTTACAGTGCAAGCCCTGTGTGTCTTCTCATGATATGTCTCGTCTGACATGTAATGCGAGACTTCGTCTTGTTTATGCAGATTTCACTTCGTCGGAGCGACTTTCGGTCCGCAGGAATTTATTAGGAATTTAAAACATTTTGTCTTACAGTACTTCTGTAATTTTACTTCTCCGAAAAATCTTCACTTGCCCGTCGGGCAAGTTAAGCACAGAATTCACTAGCCCGATCGCAAAATCCACTAGCCCCGGGCTGTCGGACACGACTTTCTTTGCACGCTGAGACTATTCCTAGATTTCAAGAAAATTCCCACTTTATAGATTTCATGTCATCATTATTCTGTTGCTATGGAGGTGGCGATGTCAACAAAATATACTCTTAAATTAAGTTCATTGTTAGATATTGTGTATCAATGGTGTTTCACTTTGCGGCTTTTTTGTAGATGCACTATAGCCATGGTTATGGGGCATCAAACACAAAGGAGTGAGACCTTGGGTGCGAGCCTCTTTTATTAAACCCTGTGATTCTTAAGCTTGATGATTATTCTCTTGTTGTTATCTCTTCTTAGTCAGAAAACCTGAAAAAATTGATCACATAGACGCTGCAGGTTGTATTGGAGATGTGGTCAGAGCTTATACAGCACTGCATTATCAAGCTAGAGTGTGTGGTGGAGAGACTGTTCTCATATTCAATGGTGCTTCAGTAAGTAAATGGGATTTGTATTAGAACTCAATATGAAGACCTGCAGGGATTGAAATAATGGCCGGTCAACGGGAAATGTCATTACAAAGTAGACTCTGTTCAGTCAAATCCTTGGGTGACCAGACACTTGGTCGGTTACGCATGTTAATGGAAAGTAAGTTATAACTTTTGAAGTTAGATAAGGTTAGACATTATCGGCGTTCGTGAAGAAAAAAAAAAAGGGGAAAAGACAGATGTGACCAGACCAAGAACTATTTTAAATTAAATGATTCACAATGGGGCTGTTTCAATTCCCGGGCGTTGCCGCTTGGATTTTACAGTAAAGTGACGGTAATCCTAGATGAATTGTTGTGCCATGTAATGACTTTGACGTGGGAGCATGTGAATATAACCAAGAGATCGTAATAGGACAGTGCAGAGTGGGAGTCTAGGGGCGTTAGCCGGGAAATTTTAATTTCCAAAAAGTTATCTTTAGAAACTATGCCGACCATGCGGAAACAGTTTTCACACGGTTGCTTTTACGGTCACCTTTGAAGGATCTGCGCGCTTGATTTTCATCGCTTATTCGCTCCGCAATGCTAGTTCACCACTTTCATGTTGCAATTACAGTTTCTCATCGTCCCGCCATTTAGGCCGCCATTTTTTCATTTGTTGACTCTGCCTCGCTTTCGCGCACGGAATCATGATAGCGAGTTTCCCGGAAGTAAACCAGTTTACCGGAAACTGTTTCTGCATGAACTGCATAGTTTCTAAAAATAACAGTTTTGAAATTAAGATATCCCAAAGGCATGACTGGGAGACTCTGTCTGTGTCCTATTATGATCTCTTGATATAGCTTAAGAACTGAAGAATATGACTGAAGCGAGAGTTGCATGCACAAATGCAATATTCTAATTTGTTTTTTCGATTAAGCAGAAGTTTGCAGTTGTCCCTAAGGGGCCACTGTTCCATGTTTTCCACGCTTGCTGTATTTAGTGCAATGCTTCGTTAAGAGCTTAGTAAAATTGTTTCACGATTTTTAAACATCATGCGCGGGTGGCGTGATAGTTATTTGTCCGGCTAAATCCGAGTTGTGTACGAGCAAAAATAGGTTTGGCCAGGCAATTTGACCAGCGCCAGCCGTAAAATTATTCCAAGCCCCGATATGAACCTCAGGGCTGCTGATGCTTAGGTTTTGAGAAACTGTCAAGTAAACATTCTTCTTTTCATTCGCAGGCTTCTGGAGTTATGGCAATACAACTTGCTCACATTTGGGGGGTTAAGGTACACATGCTTTTTGACGTTTACAATAATTTATAATATCAAACTGAGTAACGTAGTAGATTACCGAAAGAAAGGGTGACGCAGTGAACACTGTTGGAGTCAATAATTTCCACAATTTTACGCCGTTATTAATGAGTTTCTTCTCCGTAAACCCTTGCTTTCATGTAGGTGCAGTAATGCACATGTTACGCTGTAAACCAGCTTTGCAACGTTCGTCTCTTATTTTAAGTCGTAGAATAATTTGGACCAGATTTCCTTAATTTGAATAAGTTTTACTGAAAGGCAACGCGCAACGCAAGTCTCTGACACTTCCTGAGCGCTTTGAGGAAATACAAACTAACATCGACGGCAAGGACATTCTACCTTCAGACGAACTGAAATTGCTAGGATTAAAAATAGACAATGAACTGAATTTTACTTCACATTTTCAATCTATTTGTTAAAAGCTAGTAGCAAAATAGCTGTTTTGTCGAGGCTTAAAAATATTATTCCTATAATTATATCGATGCTAAACTACACATATATAAGGCTACCATACCACCTAACCTAACATACTGTCACACTATATGGCACTTTTGTAGGAAATCAGACGAGAGAAAATTAGACAAGCGTTTACTTATGATGAACTGTTAAAGAAACCCAAGCTATGACTTCTCTGTTTTAATTCTTTCACTTCCAAAGCAAATCTTCTGGGCTGACGGGTAAATACAGAGAGGATCCGCCACTGTGGTTTCCGGTATTAATATGTTTTTGCACCAGAAAAGAGGTTGTCTGTTGATCAATTTTTCATTCCGAAGTCGAACGTTGCGTAGCTCGCCTTTTTTTTCCATGGCGCCTTTCTATTCTGTTGCACAACCAAGGCATCATGCTACTCTAACAAGTGCAAGTGCACCCCAGCTTTTAAGATTTCAGGACTAATCACGTCATGTTTGGTTTGGTTTGTAGGTCCTTGCAACAGCGTCATCAGAGGAAGAAGTTATTTACCTGGAAAGTCTTCAA